TTTATACTCAATTCTACGACATTGAAAATATTTAACGGATTCGAACTAAACCCTTACCTTTTAGTTCGTAGTTGGTGCACGAAAGAGACTGGAAATTGGATCTCTTTGTGAAATCTTCGTAGTGATTTTCGCAGTTGGTTATCCCTAGTTGTCCTGATTTTTTAGTGAATTTGAGTTCAATTTTGTCTTACAAAACGGTCATGGGTGGAGTTATGAAGAGAAAGAATCGTTTCCGGGTCGTGGGCGGTTTTTATCCGCTTTATGCGGAATGGGTAAACTTTTGGATCGGATTTTAACTGGTTGGATCGTAAATAAATTGAGTTTTGTTTGGTTATTTTGTCTTTTCATACAGTTTCGATAGAAAAAGAAAAAAAAAAGAATTTTTTTTCTTTGAAGGTCATTTGTAATTTGAAGTTAAAAGAAAGGGTTATAACAAATTTTGATCCCAATGGTAATAAATTTCATTACGAGCTACCACAAAACGATGGCAAACCACATCAAGGCACCAACCATTAGCGTAAACTCAGAACCAGATCTGCATTTTGCAATAAAGAAAAGAAATCTGTATACTGCAGAACATGTTCGCAAAGAGGCGATAAATATACCAGCCAAAGACTCATTACAAGAGCCAAGATCAACCGAAATAATCGAAAATAAAACAAAGATTCTCGAATCCAATAAGACCGGTTCTACCACATCTTTGCAAACCCAACCACATACTGAAGTAGAGGGTAAGAAACATGAACATACCAAAGCAGAAGAAGCACCAACAAATTTGGCTTGAGCTCCGACGATTGGAGGCTCGACGAAGAACATTGATGAGTTAATCGGAGCAGAAACAATGGAGCAGATCTGTGAAGAAATCTGACACCATGACCTGCACACAGCAGTAAACGATTGCAGACAAGCGAATAAAATGTCACTCGAGGACATAGGAGGAGGCACGACAAAACCAGAAGGTTTAGCAAACGATGGAACAAAGGTTGAAGCCGCTGACTGGTCTAGGTCCGGTGGAACCATCCACAACAAAGACCCATAACGAACCAGACCCAGATCTGGGTTAACACCAAGCCACCGTCGATTCCAATACAAGACCGAACACCATCGACATAGAAGCAAAGCAGAGAACACCTTTCTCCAAACTTCACCATCATCGGAAAGAACACAGAATAGAACATAAACACGAGGACGAAACAAAACTTAATCACGAATTGAGAGCCCCTCACGGTAAACGGTAGCCGTAGGAGGGGCAAAACCCTAGATCTACTTTCGCCCTTCTTTATTTATTTGGGAACTCTTAGCCAATAGGTTATAAATTAAAATCATGCCAGTAAAACTGACGCTTTCTCACAAACAAAAATTGTTTCTGAAAGTTGTCAGATCGAGTGTTTGATTTGAAATTATTAACAATGTTTCTTATCGAACCGTATTTATTAATTTGAGCTCGTGTTTCATGTGACAGTATAGTTTAATGTTACTCTTTGTTTACATAAATTATCATACTTATAGCGGCCGAAAGGTTAAAGTAGGGAAAAGGAGAAAGAGATACCAACCAATCCATATCATGATTAAACTCGGAGAAGAATAAGGTTTCTTTAATCACTAGTAATAAGTATCCCAACTAATTAATTAGCTAATTGCAGCATAATTGGTTCTTAAAGGAAGCTTAATATACAAGGCCAGGGCCACGTGGGGAAAACAACAACATTAAAATAGTAGTACTATTTTCACATGTTCTGCTTGTAGGGTAAGTCTCATCAACTTATAAATAGAGGCAATTATCGAAGAGCTTATGTTGTCCGTAAGAAGACAAGGAGAGCAACGAAGATCCATGAGCTCACTAAAGAAAGCGGTGGAAA